TTGTAAGCATACAACTCGAAACTCTATGCGATCTGCACATGCGCGTACTTCTAATGCCTAGACAGATGCATTCCGATGAGATCACAGATACCACATTTGTAAACGAATAGTTTTTTTGTCATATAAAAGCCAAGTAGCATATAACATTTACTAACGATATTCGTACATCAATACGCTTGAGCTTCCGGTCATGTAATAACACAGCCAACCCAATAGTTAATTATTAAATTCTTAACTTCCGGTGGTCCAAACGCGACATGACACATAGATAGATAGATTGGCTAAAAGGTAAATTTAAAGTCGGACCGCCTTCGGCTAGTCCGACTAATAAAGGTGTTGCAGGTCGCGTGACTACCTATTTATAGAACACAACCCAAGAAGAATACTATAGCCTTTCAAAAGAGGTTGTTGGGGGAACCGAGGTGTCATGTTCCTGACGATGACCAGAACTGTTTTTGAAATATATAGAAACAAAAAAAGTTTACAAAATTCGTCTAATAATAAGTTATGTAATCACGTATAAGCTCTTTTATAATCAAAACTAGACGCCCCTGGGGCGTGAAGTCGGACTAGCTATTTTTGAAAATTGATAGACATGAGTGAAAAGATTATGATCATGTTATATTCTGTTTAATCATATGATTATATTATGAATGCAAATGAAACTTGAGAAAAACAGGAGGATATTACATAAAATTTAAAAATTAGATTAAAATATATATTTCTTAATCTTTCTCCAAAATAGCCGAGCTCATGGCCTAATAAGAGCGTCTAGTTCAAAATATGCAAAATTTATTGAGACTTAATAAACTTGACCTAAAAGGTCATGTAATTAATATAGCAATGAACGTTTTAAAAGAGTCCTTGCTTTCACTGATAAAATCAAACGTGCTATGCCTAGACGTGACGCTAAGTGATAACGTTGACCTCTCAGGCCAAGAAAATACTTTACAAAGTAAATGATACCTATAAAATCATTAAACTCGCCTTTTTTTATTGATAAAAAATGTTTCTTCTTGTTCTAATTTGAAATCTTTGCCCACACAACACTGCCTAACGCTAAAAAGGCCATTGATTTAGTTTCGAAAGCATACTACTCGAAGCACCAAGCGATCTGCACATGCGCGTACTTATGATACCTAGACTGATGCATTCCGATGAGATCACAGATACCACATTTGTAAACGAATAGTTTTTTTGTCATATAAAAGCGCGAGTAGCATATAGCATTTACTAACGATATTCGTACATCAATACCTTTGAGCTTCCGGTCGTGTAATAACACAGCCAACCCAATAGTTAATTATTAAATTCTTAACTTCCGGTGGTCCAAACGCGACATGACACATAGATAGATAGAT